GAAGTCAGCCATGCAAGCATGCTACCTCTTATACCCAGACTGTATAATTTCTGGATCAAGATCTCTTTATCGACAGTGTCAAACGCCCTGGAGAGATCAAACAAAAGTGAAACCACATACTTACCAGCATCCAAGCACTGATACACATATTTGAGAAGGTGACAAGATGCCGTCTCAANACCCTGTAATTTTGTTTTGCGACGTTTTTTGTTTAAGCAAGTTTGGTTAAATCGACATCATTTGGGTACTAGATTATACCCTTGAAGTATGTAGCATTCGTTAGGTTAGTAATCGTTGTGTCGTCAGCAAACATTGTTACATGACCATGCTCAATGTATGATGGCAAATCATTGACATAGCGCATGAACAGTAATGGACCTAGTACGGAACCCTGAGATACTCCAAGTGCAACCGCTATATATCCGATTTTTCCTCGTTTATATTGACTACCAGAGACCTATTTTCCATGTGTGAAGTCAGCCATGCAAGCATGCTACCTCTTATACCCAAACTGTATAATTTCTGGCTCAAGATCTCTTTATCGACAGTGTCAAACGCCCTGGAGAGATCAAACAAAAGTGAAACCACATACTTACCAGCATCCAAGCACTGATACACATATTTGAGAAGGTGACAAGATGCCGTCTCAACCGAATTATAAGACCTAAATCCATGCTGGGATGCAGTCAACAGATTATTTTTTTCAACACAGTTGGTTATTCTGTTATATACTACTTTCTCATGTATTTTAGACAAAACATTCAGCAAAGAAATTTGTCGGTAATTCTCCATTTCTTTAGGATCACCTTTCTTTAATAGGGGTATAACAGTTGCCAATTTAAAACAGTCAGGAAATATTCCGGTTTTATTGATTTATTTATGAGATAAACAAAAGGCTGTAGAATATTGTTCTCTATATTTTTAAATAATTTAGCTGTTAAACCGTCATAACCGCTTGAATTTTTATTTTTAAGTTGTGAAATAATGTAATGACATGCACCTCCTCCACTGCAACGTCATCAAAAACCATTGAGTTTACAAGGTTATCATTTAATGTACAGGGTAAAGAAAGATTTGACCCAAAATGGTCTCTAATTTTATTTTGTGCTACAGTAGAAAAATGGCATCCTAATTCCCTGGCAACTTTATTACAGTCACTTATGATGGTATCATTAATCTTGAGAATGATTTGATCCCTATTATTCTTTTTATTCCTATCTAAAATTTTATTGACAATGCTCCAAGTTTCTTTAGGTAATACTCTGTGTTTTAGGACTCTACTATCAACAGAACAAAATGTTTTTAAATCTGGAAGAATTCACTTCCTTATTTCGATATGCCTCATTTAATAAAATGTACTTCTCCTATAAAAAATTTATTTAAATTTTTATATATAGAGAGAGAAAATGTCACATAAGCATAGGTTATTACATTGCTTTGGAAAAAAGTTGGGGCTGTAAAGTGTTCCAGTTCGGCCCATGGGAATGAAGTCTTACGAGATCTCAGGAGGGCAAGCAAGACGAGTAAACCTGATTATCAACCAACCTTGACATGAAATGCATAAATATGTTACTTCCTTACGAGATAGGTAAAATTAAGTAACTCTCGACTTTTCCTTGTTCCGAGTTTATAATTAATTATAATGATGATGTTCATTAAAACAAATAACATCGTAGTTGGAACAAGAATACGAAAATATCGTGAAATATCATGATACAAATGTCTCTATCATGATGAAATATTAATGTTTGAAGAATCTTAAATTCTAAATAGAAATTGTCAAAATTGATAGTTTATTACACATGATGTTAAAACTGATATTTTTAAAATAATACTAAATAGCCTGATACCGAAATGACATTGTTTCCGTAGTGTACATCTACATATATCTATTACAAGGTATTGTTAATACCGAATTGAATTACAAACATTTAAGTTATAACTGTAAGGGTGATTTTCTATAAGGTCCACCCGCCTTGACTTGTTTATTTGGGGCAGTAAAATTTTGTAAAAAGTTTGTAAGATTTTTTCTGTACTTTCAGCACAGGTAATTGAAAATTGATAAAACACATTAGTATACACTATACAGAGTAGATAAAGCATATTTTTTTAAAAGGACACACCATATCTGAATTAACTTATTGACCCTTCGTTTAATTCTAAGCATTTTTCTCAAAGTCATATACTCAAAGTCAACGGTTTTTGAAATTTGTAAATAATGTTCTGTCCTGAAGATAAGCGGCTATAAAATTTAATAATAGACATCCTGATAGGTCTGCGGTAAGCATCAGCACCTTACAACGCGTTAATAACGTTTTTAACGAAATATCCTGTATAACTGCTATTTTTTGTATTATTTTTGGCATTTTTTACTTTCTCTTCTATGTGTGGTTACCTACAGTTCATATCGTAGATCCTGTAACCATTGATCTTTTTACATTTAATACTTTCCATTCTAGAAACAGGTAAATATTTTTTTCTCAATAATATCTGCTGTCCTCGTTTTTTAAAAGGAGAGTAATAAAAATGCTGGGCACATATATATTTTTATTCGGTCTAGAAGGGTGCTGTTGTAGCGAGGGTTTTTCGCAACCATCTATCAAAGTAAATCTCCGCCATATATCCTCAAATTCCGCCAGGTGAGACTTTTATTTCAAGTTATTTTTATAGGAGTCGCCAAAGGCTAATCTGTTGCTCGCTTTGACGGCTCCGAATCATTTAAGACAAGAAATATATTTTATCTCTATTAAATTAATTAAACTAGTCAGTTTTAATTACCAATTCATGACAGTTCAAGCATATCTAGCTAAAGGTTGAAAGAATCACAATCACAATATTGAAATATTTATAGAATAGATTTACAGATACGAGGTCTGTTCAGAAAATAACCGAACTTTATTTTTTTTAATCTTATTATTAATTTTATACATTATTGGTCCTTCAAAGTACTCCCCACCCTATTCACATACTTTTCCCAGCGATGTTTCCATTTCGTGAGTCAATCCTGGATAGCTTTGTTTGAAATGACCTTTATGTCTGTGACGAATTTGCTTTGATGTCATTAATTTCGGAAATAAGAAAAATTCACAAGGAGCATAAGGATGGTGAGGGAGGACAGTAATCTGATTTTTGGTACAAAACTGACAAATTGACAAAGTTGAGTGTGCGAGCACATCGCCATGGTGCAAGAACCATGATGATCTCGCCGCAACTCTGGTCTCTTTTTACGGATTTTTTTTTAACCTTTGGAAAACTCCTTGATACTACTTACGGTTCACTGTTTCACCTTGAGGCAAGAATTCAAAATGCACAATTCCATTAAAATCGAAAAAAAACAGTAAGCATCACTTTGACATTGGATCGAGACTGGCGTGCTTTCTGTGTGGAGATCTTTTGACAATCTATTGTGATGATTGAACTTTTGTCTCAATGTCGTACCCAGCTTTCGTCTCCCGTTGTGATCATTTGAATTAATGTTTCATAGTTACTGGATTGTTCAAGAGTTGCCGACAAATGTCCACATGATTTTCTTTATATTGTTCGGTCATCAAACGAGGAACAAATTTTACTGAAACTCAATGTATGTACAATTTTTCATTCAAGATTTCATGGCATAACCCAATTGAGATGCTAACCCCTTCTGTGATTCCTCTGACAGTCAATCGGAGAATTGAGAGTACCAGATCTTTGACTTTCTGAACGTGGTAGTCATTACCTAGTTGAAGTCGAAGACCTTTTTGGTCTGGGAATACCTTCAACTGACTGACGACCACTTTTAAATCGTGAAAACCATTCGTAACATTGCGTTTGACCCAGAGTATCATCTATGTAAGCTTGTTGTAAAATCATTAAACACGTTGCAACCAAATAATATCATGAAAACTAAATAAAATATTAACAATCCAAGAACATATGGTTACAGAGAAGGTTGTGCTCAGCGCAATGCTGCCAACCGCATATCACTATGTATCTCCATTAGCGCGTTATTTTCTGAACAGACCTCGTATATTGAAATAGTAAGGCCATGATTTGTTCAGGTTGGCGACTGTTTTGTTTCACCATCTTCTGTGAAATTGATTTCCAAAAAAAAAACCTCGAACAAATTACCTTGCATCATATTAATTTTTGATATGTATTTTGTTCTTTTCACTTTCCCGAAAGTTATATCAAAGTCAGAAACTCTCATCCAGTCCGTAGAAATGTTTTTTCAAAGTAGCCTACATCCTGATAGATAATCACGTCAAAGGAGAATCGCTTCCCAAAAGTCGTCCTCGAATTAGACTTTGATAGATAATCCCAAGAAAGGAGAATCGTTTCTCCCAGGTCATCTTGAAGATATAATTTTTTTTTCTCATTTATATTTAAAATTTAGACTTTCTTTATATCCTAAGACCTGCAAGTCCAATAATTTTATTGGAGAATAGTCCTTACAAAAAAATTGAGAAAAGTTACGAATAAATTAACGAAAATATGTCAACATAAAACCAGTAACTTCAAATCACCTTTCGAAGTACCAGATACGTAAAAGCCCCTTCAAAATAAAACAAAATACTTCAAAACAGCATTGGAATCCATAATAATAATTTCAGTATCACCATACATTAAATATGTATACCACGATGTAGCAAATTTTCTCGAATTGACATTAAAGAAGAAACATGGCGCCCAACGTGGGGCTATGTCGTAATACGAAAATGAAACCACGGCTAGCGTACCGCGATACTAACTACTGATACTGCTGGAAACAACTACTCCTTTGGTTACATGGATTTTGGAAATAATGTCCCCTCTTATGTTTCAGATAATTAGTTATTTTAGGCTAATTTGACGGCGTAATAAACTTAAATAAGTTCACGTCAACAATTTTTTGTTGTTTCTCATTCACTATTACAAACATTTATAATGAAGAGGGCGGAAAACAATTCCAGACTCAGTTTTACTATAATTTCAAATTGGTGTGGAATATTACGTTTTTAAAGGGTTATATTTTTATTACTCACCACATCTGAGCGTCCATAGGCGAACCTCCGGTCTTTTTCGTGGTCGCCGAAGGTGTCCCACAATCTTAGGCTGACGTTGACGCTGTCCACCACCTCCCAGGAGCGTTCCAGCACGTCCTTGTAGATGCGATACTGGTCGATAGCCCATACAGTCGGCACGTGGGTCGCCAGCAGTTGTGCCAGCGACACCTTGCAAAAATTAACAAGTTAAATGTATTGAATTTTTAAGACTCAATAATGACATCTAGTCAAAATAAAACAAGGATAACATTTTTTCCTAAAACGTTTCTTAACGAATTCCTTTAATCCCTAACACTGTTAGGTTGGAAGTCTATACCTTCAGTGAGTAATTGATGAAAAACTGTGCCTTACTCGATTCTTTGAAGTATCGTTTTATGAAAGAAATATTACTCAGGTTTTTTTTTGCTTGTATTAAGAGTTTTTTTTTATATCCTCTATAAAAAGATATGAACCGTATTTCACGAATAACTTCTTTGAATGACAGTTAACTCGATTTATAATGACAGATAACTCAATCACTTCTTAAATCAGCTTTGAAAAAGTAATTTCTGAGGCAGCCAAACTGGAATATCAAATTATTTTTTATCTAAAATATATAACTTTCGTTTCATTGACAGTCATTTTGAAGACCAAACGTTTAACAGAAAAATATGCTAAAGTAACAGCCTTAGTGGGTTTATTTTCAATTAAGAGTATGTGGAGTATGACAATGGTTTTTACTCTTTTAGATATTTAAAGTAATCGGTTACACTTTCTAGAAAGAGAAAATATGAATTATGAGTATTTTAATCTCAATGTTGGCATATTAAAGATACAAAATGAAATTATCCCACTAGATTGATAAAAAACATTAAATTAAATAGATCATAATTATGAGGAAAAAAGATTTTATTAATAAAAAAGTTGGCAAAGTTTTTAAAGGGTAGATATTGCCATCAAATATTAAAGACGATATCGGACAGATATCCACCGCGACTCATTTGGCATACTCGACTTATTTTAAGAAACTTCTGTATCACGCTTTCGCACACCTGTGGCTAAATTTCGTTGGTAACTCTCCTTTAATTCGGGAATGGTCACGTTCCTTTTACTACGCACAGTCTCAGCTACACGCTCTCCGTACTTGTAATGAATTTTCACAATCTTCACTCAATTATCCCTCGTATAGCAGTCCATTTTGTATATGTTTACTACAACATGTGACCCAGCGCAATGCTGCCAACTCTTCTGAATGAAAATGGCGCACAATTCACATCCTTTTGAGACACCCTTTTTTTATGAGGATGTACCCATAAAATAATAATGACTTAAAATGTATTTCCAATAAATAAATTTACTCAAGTTTATAAATGAGGACATAAGAAATTATAAAATGACACTTTCAAAAGTTCCATGGTCCCGGGTCATTAAGCTAGCAATTTACTTTCATAATGAGAAAACGGCTAATGAACTAATGATAAATAAATGAAAAATCAAATATAGGGAAGCGCGATAAAGCCCATAAATTATATGGCTCATTAATACTTCTGGACTCCAATTTTACCCATACCAGTAAAACTTATCAATGAATCGATATATTCCGCATATTTTCGAGGAGTTGGAACAGTATCTCATTATAGATATCAAAAGCTATATTATATGAAACGACAGTTTTTTATGGAAGACATAAAAGAAGCCATAACCCCTCTTTATTTTCTCCGAACTATAAAGTTAGCAACGGCGACGAATATTCTCAAATAATCTCACAATTCCATAAATACCCAGAAATTTCAGTATTTACTTAAAGTCTCCAAACATAGGAAGACTATCGATTTAATAAGTTCTCCGTACCATTAATATATGATGTTTAGTTTTTTATAGTAAGTATATTTGTTTACTTAAATGTAACCGGGTGACCCAAGAAAACCAGAAAAGGAAAAAAAGTACATATAATGAATCCCATTTTCATTCATCCCATCCCATTTGCATTCATGTCTCATATGAAAGTAATGCAGGATTTTCATTCCGAACAGTTGGTAGCATTGTTGTAGTAAATACGTTGCGGTTAGAAAAAATGGAACGCTATATGAGGGATGAGCGAGTAAACATTGTGAAAATTCATTACAAGTACAGAGAGTGTGTAGCTGAGACTGTGCGCAAATTAGTGGAGTTTTCATAGAAGCAACGCCCCGAATGAAACAACTTTGGAGAGGTTAGTTGCCAAATTTGAACAAACAGGTTCGGTTGCAGACAATAAAAAAAAATAGGCTGGCTTCGGACAGGCCATTCAGCCCAAAATATTGGTACGGTGAGTGACAATGTGGCGGAAATTCCCGTATAGTCCAGTCGGTATTTGTTTCGGGATAGATGTTTTATATAGTAACGCTAATTTTTGTTGGAAATAGTTCTAAAATATTATGTAAAATGATAATTGTGATATGCGCCCGCTGAAAACGTTGTGCATAATTGTTAGCTCAAGAAAATGTGAAAGAAAAATTTAAAAAGGCGCATTTTTCTCCTTTCTTTCATGTATAACTCGGAGAAGCTGAGAAAAAGTCGATTGAAGATTGAAGTTGAGTGAGCGGATTATGCTGCTCCGCTCGCATAGTCCCCCCACTCCACACTCTTTGACTTTCTGCTCGGTTCCTGTGAAATGTAACAATATTTTTTGCATCAGAACAGTTAAAATATATTTCCGATTTAAATAAATTTTCATAGTTATAAAGTCTTTGCTTCAAACAATCAAAATCACTTTTGATTGTTATTGTACAGCTATCTCGATGACAATGCATCGTATCCTCAAGATCAAAAATGGATTTTGTTCATCAATCTTTCCTCTATTTGATCCTATAATTACATTTGAAGAATATGTAAATACGGTAGCTCTAGCTTTAAATGTTATAAGTATTTTTTCGAAGAAAGTTTGAAAAAATTCTAATTGTTGCTAAAATGGATAAAATCGAAAATTTTTAAATGGAGATTGATAGTTGAGACTCCAAAGGGTACGTATAAAAATTGGGAGCTCAAATAATCATTTGTTTTACCGTGAGAGAGAATTGAAAAATAAGTATAATTCTGTATCTTCTTAATTAACAATTGAATTGTACGAAATTTACCCGGTCGATTTTGATGAAAAAATTTCTGCAAAATTACCATATTATGAAGTACCCAGAACCATACTTTTTATATGGCTACTCTAAAGTTAAGGTCCGAAATAAATTCATGAAGAAAACATCTTTTTTCAAGAATTTTTTTTAGGTCTATACTGTATTGCAGCAACAATAATGCACATAAAAATTTCGGACCACTTTTACTTTGAAAGAAGAAAGAAAAATGCGCCTTTTTAATTTTTTTTTACATTTTCTTGCGCTAACAATTATGCATAACTTTTTCAGCGCGCGCATATCGCAATTATCATTTTGCATAATATTTAGAACTATTTCCAACAAAAAAATAGCGTTACTATATGAAACATACATACAACCTACTTTTACAGATACCGATTGGACTAGTAATCTCAGTACGCTGTCGGTCACTGCAACTAAACCTTTCAAATTCTAGAAAAATGAAGTGAGGCAAAATATGTATCTATTTACTCAGTAATAACATAAAATAGGTACCAAATTAGAAACCAAGCCTCAAACAACTAAAACAAGGTATAATCGAAGAAATATTTTCCAATATCTCCGAAAATAGACGCCTTGCCAACTTTCATTCGATACGCTAACTCCTCAAGGGATATAGCCCATACAATAAAAATATGATGGACTTCAAACGCTTTGAAGAAATGAAATGAGCTTTGTTTTGGTTCCCATAAAATCTGGTTCCGAACCGTTCTAATCATGCGCAGTCTGAAATATGCGTTCGTGTTTACTTTGAACGGTTCAGAATTTCGCAGATGTTTGTTTTGGTTTTATTCGAATTTGATTCGGAACCAATCTGAATCATCCGAAGTAGTTCTAGCTCCCTAGCACGAATTGCTTAGAACTGTATTATTTGGCGCATGCGTAGTATTCCCATTNGTAAATAAAGGTTAGGTGTATTTACTTTGCTTTTGTTTTATATAATTAAACCATACATCCCCTCTACAAAGTTAGTAGCCAGCGCCTTCCGGTCAATTAAAAATAGATACACACAACGTAGGGATTCCTTATGACGATCACATATTTTTGGCCACAACTACGTTTACTTATTTTTTGTCGAACCTAGGGTTGTTATACTACACTCTATTTGTTCCTATAATTATATTTGAACAATATGTAAATACGGTAGCTCTAGCTTTAAATGTTATAAGTATTTTTTCGAAGAAATTTTGAAAAAATTCTAATTGTTGCTAAAATGGTGAAAATCGAAACTTTTTAAATGGGGATTGATAGTTGAGACTCCAAAGGGTACGTATAAAAATTGGGAGCTCAAATAATCATTGGTTTTACCGTGAGAGAGAATTGAAAAATAAGTATAATTCTGCATTTTCTTAATTAACAATTGAATTGTACGAAATGTACCCGGCCGATTTTGATGAAAAAATTTCTGCAAAATTACCATATTATGAAGTACCCAGAACCATACTTTTTATATGGCTACTCTAAAGTTAATGTCCGAAATAAATTCATGAAGAAAACATCTTTTTTTAAGATTTTTTTTAGGTCTATACTGTATTGCAGCAACAATAATGCACATAAAAATTTCGGACCACTTTTACTTTGAAAGAAGAAAGAAAAATGCGCCTTTTTAATTTTTTTTTACATTTTCTTGCGCTAACAATTATGCATAACTTTTTCAGCGCGCGCATATCGCAATTATCATTTTGCATAATATTTAGAACTATTTCCAACAAAAAAATAGCGTTACTATATGAAACATACATACAACCTACTTTTACAGATACCGATTGGACTAGTAATCTCAGTACGCTGTCGGTCACTGCAACTAAACCTTTCAAATTCTAGAAAAATGAAGTGAGGCAAAATATGTATCTATTTACTCAGTAATAACATAAAATAGGTACCAAATTAGAAACCAAGCCTCAAACAACTAAAACAAGGTATAATCGAAGAAATATTTTCCAATATCTCCGAAAATAGACGCCTTGCCAACTTTCATTCGATACGCTAACTCTTCAAGGGATATAGCCCATACAATAAAAATATGATGGATTTCAAACGCTTTGAAGAAATGAAATAAGAGCTTTGTTTTGGTTCCCATAAAATCCGGTTCCGAACCGTTCTAATCATGCGCAGTCTGAAATATGCGTTCGTGTTTACTTTGAACGGTTCAGAATTTCGCAGATGTTTGTTTTGGTTTTATTCGAATTTGATTCGGAACCAATCTGAATCATCCGAAGTAGTTCTAGCTCCCTAGCACGAATTGCTTAGAACTGTATTATTTGGCGCATGCGTAGTTATTCCCATTTTCCCAAGCTCCGTTTGTCATTGAAATTTTTTTAATTTCCTGCTTTTCGTTTAAGAAAAGTATCTTTTTATTGGGTTTTATGAGTATATTTTTGTAATGCGTTCTGGTTTTCAAATAACTCCTGATAGTTCCGAATCGTTCAGAATTTTGTCTATTGCGTTTATAATTCTGCGATGAATCTGAACTGTTCAGAAATAAAGAACCAAAACAAAGCTAAGATTGTGCCCAAAAAAGTATTTTCCAATAACCTCTGAAAATATGTACCTACATGCCAACTTGTCATTACATATATAAGACAATTTTTTCACTTCAGATGGCGCAGTAAAACACGGCAGTAACTATTATTATTTAGTTATTTGCGCCTTAAAAAATTTAAATATAGAGACTTCATAAATGATTACAAGCTACGTGACCGCCGGGGGTAGGCAACCAACATTGCAAGTTGGTACTGTCCATTAAAAATCTGTAAATATTAGTGTCATCAATGTTAATGATTCATTTACAATGAACAATGACAAACTGTTGTGTCTACGCTCGAGATAATGCGGTCACCGATTGGATGAATAAAATGTAGTGAAAAATGTCACCAATTATCAGCCGGTGAAACAGAATTTTGTGTTGTAATGTAACCTTAATCTTATTATTTGAATAACTTTTAGTAGAAAATAAAATTACTGTTCCAAACAAAATCAATTGGTCACGTGGTTTGTAATCATTTATGAAGGCTCTGAATATTAAAACAGTCAAAATCCCATTATTTTCTTGACTTTTTTCAAAAATAAATGTTTAATGTTAACTTATACCTTATTTTAAATATTATTAATGCAAATCGAACAAATTCAAAATATTTTCCTGAAAAGTCATATCAAATGAATTCACAAATGCTCTTTGATACCAAAAGTCGAAGACTGGAAAAAACCTCATAGACAAGATTGTTAAATTTATTTCTGTTAGTTTATCACCCTTCAAACAAAGTGAAAGGTGTCTATTTCGGAAATTATTATAAGGGACTAATTCACGCTAACTGTTAAAGAATTATTATTGAGTTTTATAACATATATCACTTTGGATTTAATTAACAAATTCACATATAGGTATATTCTACATAAGTCCATCAAATTTTTAAAACGTAGGTAACATCCCTTGAGAAAATTAGCATACCAAATGACAAATTGGCACGGCATGTATTTTCGGATATATTTTTGCGATTGTATTGTTCGTTTCATTTATTTGATGTTCCGTTGTGGTTTCTAATATAGTATTTTGTGTTACTATTGTGTAAATAGACGCATTTTTTGGACCAACTTAATTTTTTTACAGTTAAATACGTACTAGTAGAATATACCCATTTTAATATTATTTGTACCTTTTTAAAGGCATGTCTATGGACAATCGGGTATTTTCGGAAATTTCAAGTGCTATCATCGGGTTTTGTTTCCACACCGGTGTTTTAATACTGCATAATACAAAACAAGCTGTAGAAGCGACTCTTTGGTTTAGGTAAAAATACTAGTATCTCAATTAATGTACAGGTTGTTGTAATGTACCCGTACCTGTTTGTTGCAAGCGCGCGCGCATATCAGCCGTGTCTTGCCTACGGCCGTGTCACCCACCACCACACACTTAACCAACTCCTGGTGGGGTTGTTCATTATCCATCCCCCAAGACCACGACGCCGACATCCATCACACCGTGGACCCCTGCAACAGAGAGAATTATGTTAGAAGGTAACATCTCATAGGTTTGCGAAGTCAATATTGTTCTGTTACTCTAATTGTTATTGGTAGCATTCGAAGTAATCGAGGGTTTGTAGAGTAGTCGTTGTTATACAGGGTGTCCCGGTCCTTGATATAAAAAAGTCGAGTACAAATAGATGAGGTCAAAATAATATCAGTTATTCTTATTTTTTTTTTTCATACCGGCCTTCGTTAACAAGTTACGGGCCCTCAAAGGTGAAAATTAAAAAGCTATTTTTATTTACAGTCTCTAAACTATTTATTGCAGCATGATGAAAATTTAGTGATCGATAACACATGTGTACAGCTTGTTTTTGATGTTTCATTATGCTCAGAACGCCAGGGACGGACTATGCTCAATGATTAACAACCCATAATATTTGCATAGATGACGATCGCATCAAAAATAAGTTCCCTGAAAAATTTGCCAACGATAATATCCTCTTGGTACAACTCGGTAAAATTAACAGTTTAGGAAATATTTTGTGATTTTATGAGCCACCTACGACTGCATTTTTTAATAACATTTGATAAAATACGGTTCGTCTCTGCCCCTTATAAGATTTGCCCATTGTACAATTTTTATTTCTGTAGTTGAGCATTCGCTTTTTTTATAATTTATTGTTTGTTAGTTAGTAGTATGTGGTGTGAATAAAGCCATTATAAAAATATTTTAAAAGAATATTTTGTCTCAGTGTAATTTAAATAAAATAATAGATTTTCCTGTTACATCATGCATTGCATATTGAAGTCGATATATCTCGAAAACAAGGAAAATAGGTGTAGTGAAAAACTTTATATTACAAAAATTATTCAAAATTTAATGATTTTTCAGATGGACGTTCCAGGGACCAAAGCAATTTTTAGTATCGCCACGTCATTTATACAGAGAGATTTGAAATAACAATTCTAACTGCAATTTGAAGCTATTCGAGGGATCTAACATCCGCTTTCCGGAACTAAAATAAAAATGACACACCCTGTATATACAATACACTAATATAAAATTGCATTGAACCGAAAATATGTACCTAAAAAAACACACTGAATGTACGCGTGTTATTGCAACATGTAATTGTTTATAAAGACGAGAAGACTATTTTTTTATGAGTAATTTACTTGATAAACGTTTATCGGATATGAGTTTTGCTCTTATTTAAAATCTAAATCTATCTAGAATACTAGAGCAGCGAGTATAGAATAACGATTACTGATCGTAAGAGTACTTAGTACTCACGATTACTGAAACGTAACTAGATGTGGCATTACTATCACAGGTCATCCTATATTTTCATATGATGACATTTTATAATTTTACGATATTTTTAATGTAAACATATCCAAATTTTATTTATTTCTACATATTTATATATTTTTTTCTATAAGGTTTCATACCACTTTAAAGCAGGTTTACTGTTTTTGTTTTTAGTCTCAGAAAAAGGATTTCTTCACGGAGCACTTGAATCAAAGTCAAAAAGAAAAAAGTTTAAAATACTGAACTAATAACAGAATTTTGTTACTAAAATAAAGCCACAACAGCATGGATTATGAAAATGATGAAATTTACGTTTGGAAATTCGTTTGGGAACAACAGAATGTCAGAATTAAGTGTTATCCTTCCATTTTCTTTTTTTATTGGAAGACAAATGAGAAAGGCTTGGGGAGGTTGATTATTATTGATTCGATCAAAGCATCCCGTAATGTAAAAATTTCATCCATAAATTTGCGTAGATTCAAATGACACCTCTTTTAAAAGGACACACGCTACTTATTCAACCATATAAACAGAATGACCTTTGGAACTGCAATTATTTAGACATTTTGAAATAAATATGAAATATCATTACACAGGTAAGATTTTACATTTATACAGGGTGTTAATATAATGTAAAGAATACTTTAAAAAAATAACACAAAATGTTCTTACGAACATATTTTATATATCCAAAAACGCTTCATTTTTTAAATACAGAGTATTTTCGTAATCGATTCTGTTTTTATTTACATCTATATCAAATAAGTTGACCAAATCAATTCAAATTTGAGCAGGTTATCATCTAATAAGTCGGCATGATTTGATATGAGATATTTTAGGAGCGGAAATTCAGGAGTATCGTAATTTTTCTTTTGAACAGTACTTCGCTCCATTAAAATTTTCACAAAAACAATACAATTTTCTGAAAGAGCGGGATTGCTTACAGAATCTCTTATCTCTCTTCGAGAAGCACCGTTTTCGAGAAAATTATAATATGTGATTTTAAAACACTTCTTGACGGTTTTCACATAACAATAGAAATTGTCGGTAGATCACTTACCAATGTTGTATTCGTTGAAAAGAAGAAAAGCTATAAATATGTCTCATATAGGGAGTTAAAAATGAAAATAAAATTGAGAGATTAGAAAAAGTGTTTAAACCATCTTCCTTGCATGTCAATGCAGGATCTACATCTCGAAAATTAATTACTTGCTCTCTTAAAAATCCCAGATTGAACTCTAAATTGTGTTGCAGTCATTTTCTATTTGCTGTTGCACAAATTGCAAAATTTCGACTTGTCCTGCATATATCAAACTTTTACGATAATTCCAAATCAAGTTCAACATATTCAGGTCTGGCGATCTAGTTGATCGGTTCATCATGTTCATTCTGCCCAATATTTCATGTTGTTAAAAATGACTTGAATTGGTTTACCAAAATCTCCAATTTAAGATTAAGGCACTAGGATTAAGATCTGGTCGTCATGATGTCTATTTTATTTTTATAAACTCAAAATATTCGTTAATTAAGAGCAATAATATTCATTACAAGAACCGTTATTGTAAAAATACTAAAAATATTAATAATACTAAATATAAAGCGAAGGAAGGATAGTATTTTATTCTCATCTGTATAAAATTGCATATGCTTGGTCATCTAAAGCCGTAGGTATTGAGAAATCTTATCACGGAGGCTAATTGATTGCCATTAAATTACTTGGCATAATTAAGCAATTACCTGCGGCATTGCATACTAACACCTACGTCTATATGTCGATGGCAGGTTAATCATCCAAGGGTTACATGAATTTAAATTTTAAGGTACAGAGTGAAACAAATTCGAGTCTTTGGAGTTTTTTCTATTTCCGTAAAAGACAGAAGGAAGGTAATTTAGAAAGTGATTTTTGAGAAATGGCGGAAATCTGACCTCGAATCTTGAATCGTTTCAAATGTACAGGGCGTATTTCAATTTTGCCCGTTTTCTATGTAGCCCTATAATTTTTTTGTTTGTGAAAATAATAGTTGATTTTTCTAATGAGATTTCTTATACAGTTTTTTCCATATTTTCCATTATAGGTGTAGGATATTTTTCCACAATTTGCTGTTTTTGAATTATAACATAAATTTTCCTTTTTTTTTAATGGGGCATCTTACATATCAACACAAAATACACAATATATTACATATCAACATAACATATACAACATATATAACACATATAACATAACATTTACAAACATATCACAAAAACATAACATTTCAACACAAAATAACACAAACATATCACAAAAAACACAACATATCACAAAAATAACACATCGCAAAAATACAACATGTCACAAAAACATATCATAAAAACACAACAGATCATATATCACAAAACACAACATATCGCATATCACATAACATATCACATATCACAAAAAACAACATATGACAAAAACAACAAAAAACACAGGATATCACAAAAAACATAACACAACATATCAACACAACATACTGTATATAAATATATTATTTTCTGAAACACTTTTTTGTGTAAATATCATGAGTGATACGAAAGGAAATTTTACAAACATTACAAAAGCTCAATAATATACAAGATGTTCTATTAAAAAATATATGTTTGTATTGTAAGTGAAAAATCAGAAGGTTTAGAAAAATAGTGTGGAGGCTTCTGAATTTGAAATTTGTTTTCCTTAGTTAGACACCGAGTATAAAATAAAAAAACACCACAATTTTTTTTATATTATTTTTGAAGTTTAAATTTTATACTATGTTTGCACAGCAAATGTGATGACATGGAGTTCGTGCCAGATACTATATAAAAAGTTATACTGGATGATATCATACAAAATTTGGCAACGAATGTAATAATGAACAAAGCGACAAATATCCCCAGACGGCATGTCATAGTTCAGTAAAATTTGGCAGTGTTTAACTGTTTTTAACACGGCATATTTCAAATTGATTTATAAGGCCGATTAGTACGATGTTATGCAAAATATTTGAATATTTTTAAATTTATGGGAAATCAAGATAGGGTTACTTTTACAGTTTTGTTTTCATTTTTGTTTTATCATTTGAAGTATATTTTTTAGACCCTGACTCATTTCAAATTATGCTATTTTGCATATCAATAATTGTTATTCGTTTTAGAAGAAATTTTTCCAAATGTACTGGAAGATGAAATGGAAGCAAATTCACTTAATTAAAATAGCTCGATTTTAGTAAGAACAATATTTAGTTCTTTGTTAATGAGAATTCTAAACCAAAATTATATAAATAGAAACAATTAGGTAGGTCTCTGCTCCAAATAAGGACATATTCAAATAATTGTATTTTAAATTTAAGACAGCAGCAAATTTCAAAACAATATGTTGCTAAACGTAAAAAAAATTATACATTTTTCTCCTAATGGCATTTCTAACAAAAAATTATTTTCCCAATGAAGTTGACAGTCTCGGAGTCCTGACCTTTATGGATTTTTATTTATGGGAATATTTCGAATGATAAATTATTTTATTTGCAAACACATTTTTAATACATATATTGTTATAATGTAAATTTATTATATTACTTTAACAAGCAAAATAATAACGTTCTTTAAAAAATCAGCAAAAAGTCATTTCCGTCCGGACAATAGTCCGTAAACACACGGTATGGTCTAAATCGAATTATTCTGATCCTAGAAGTCTGAGGTT